CTTGAAGAGATTCTAAGTATTATCCCATTTTTTGTTTGTTAATTAGCAACAGCATAAACAAAGATAACGAGTATTGCAAAAAAGATTGAAAATCAAATATGACACTCTTTCAGTATTTTGTCTCGTATTTGAAGAAAAAGAAGCTAAAAATTCATTTTATTATTTATAATTGTTTGTTATGAATACTAGAACAGAAACTATATTTGATTTTTGCCTTCTGTAAAATTTTATTAATAATATCAGACCGTTCGTATTTACCCAAGAAAATTGGAAAACTGGGGTAAATCCGAACGGTATTTTTAATAATTTTTTTTTACATCAAAGCCACACAAAATTGTTTTTATTTGATTACACTATTATTTTAACATTATAAAAGTACATAGAAAAAAGTTTTTCTTTCTATACGTATCCTCGTTAGTAATTAATAAGCAGAAACTTAATCTCTGTTCTCTCGAAGGAGTGTTTCAATTTTTTTGCCAAATGGTTTGTTGAAAAAACTTTTTCAGGATCTTAATAAAATTTGGTATTCTACGGTTTTTGGGGTCGCTAATTACCAATTTGAAGTCAGTTTTTCAAAATTCAAAATGGCGGACGAGAATTAAAAAATTCATTGGATTCGCTCGAAAATTGTTTCTCGGGGGGTTTCAGGGTTAGCAAATTTGATCATTTTTAAAAATAAGTTTTAGGAAAGTACGCCATTTTGAATTTAAAAAATTTGACTTTTATTTTTGTATTTACATTCAATCACTCCAAAATACTTTCTGTAGCAAGTTTTGCAAAAATCCGTTATGATTTGATAAAGTTATTGAAGGTTTTAATTGTGTAATGCATTTTAATTTTTAACCTGTTTGATTTTTGTATTTATATATGATGCATTATTACATAATAGGTTTATTATCGTATTTTTTTTGAGTTTTTATATAAGTTTAACAATTGCAATACTTTAAATTTATTTTCCCTAAGATTTTTCTGAAATACAGTGGCGTTCGTATTTACCCCCATATTTTAGGAAAGTTGCAAAGTATCGAGGTAAATACGAACGCTAAGTTTCCTGCGATTGTAATTTATCAAAAATTTTTTCTACCCCATAAAATTGTTCTATGGAAGTAAAGTAACAACTTCATGCACCAGAATACCGGAAGTATTTTTTTTTTAAAGAAAAAACTTATGTTATTGTTGAAACTTACTAAAAGCGTTCGGATTTACCCCAGTTGACCCTAAGTAATTTGAATAACTTCATTATAATTTTTTTCATCCTCCTTTTCCGTTCTTATTTAGGTATTTTTATTTTTTTACATTGCTTTAACAGCATTTAATTTTTAAGTCACGTGAATGCTACAATATTAATTTTTTGATCATTTTTCTTGTAAAATATTGAATGGATTGAGTTGATATTTTATGAAGAAGTCTAAAATATAATAAAAAAGGGCTGTAATGTACGAAAATTGTAATATTTTCACAAATAATAATTATTATAGTATATTTGAAATACGTTAGAAAATTCGAACAATCACGTCACACCTAACGTCAAATTTTCTGACAATTTTCTAGTATTTTATAATAATTAATTCCAGAATTATCACATTTTTCTCACATCACTGCCCTTCCTCATCATATTTAAGATTTCTCTACAAAATATCAACTTAATCCATTCGAAATTTTACAAGAAAAGTGATCGAACAATTAACATTATTTCGACCACGTGACCTATCACATAATAATGATGCCATGTAAAAGATATAAAAATACCTTAATAAATAACTTCAAATGTACGTGTATTAATTTGTTTAAACTATAATTTTTTATTGTTTTTTTTTTAATTCGTAATGCAGAAAATATATTTCTTAATATATAAGGAAAAATAAATTTTGAACTGATACTTTAACAAGAATTGTATATATAGGCAGCATATATAATAGCATATGAGGAGCTGGAAAGTAGAACTCGCTCTCCGCTCGGATGGACTCCGTAGAGCCGGTCAAACATTCGAAAAAGTGTTGAAAATTGAAATTAAAAATTTTGAATTTTAAAAAGTACTACATTAGAGGAAATTAAAAGGCGCATCTTTTTTTCCTTTGAAAAAAAACTCGTACAGACAGCTGTTCCGTGCATGAAATATATAATTAGATTTTCACATTTAAGTATAAATTTCTTTATTATTATTATTGCCTATTCAGAATTAAAGTTTGATGACAATTAATACTACAATGTTCAATTCTGTAATTACCATGTTATTTTATTGAACAAATATAATTTACAAATTTTTTGTCATTTTGAATAAATGGCAAATTAATGTTCTGGAAAATAAATTTTTTTTAATTCAATTTTTAATTATATAAAATAAAATTTTGGTTTTAGGATTGTTCAGTTTTATAAACTTTAGAAACTGTTGAACTGTTTGTTAATAAATAATAATAAAAAAATTTATTATTAGCATCATTTTTAAAATATATATAATTTTCCATTTATTCAAAATGACAAAAAATTTGTAAATTATATTTGTTCAATAAAATAACATGGTAATTACAGAATTGAACATTGTAGTATTAATTGTCAACAAACTTTAATTCTGAATAGGCAATAATAATAATAAAGAAATTTATACTTAAATGTGAAAATCTAATTATATTTCATGCACGGAACAGCTGTCTGTACGAGTAGCGTTAGGACCGCGCTTTCTTAAAACTTGAATAATTTTTTAAGTTTTCAATGAATCGGTTTAATATTTTACAGAAAACTTCCTTATATAGTGATAAACAAATGTCTCACTGGAAGTTTTCTGAACTACAAAGTTCCCTGCAGACTTTTTGTCGATGAAAGTAAGAAAACGTTATTATCAACTGGTCACAATTTTTATTAAAAAAAATTTAAACAATTAATGATTTTTTAATTTTTCATTATTTTGTCGCCTTTAGTAGACCCTATTACGTGTACATCTCAAATTTGAATCAAATTCATTAATAATTGTCGGAGATACGATGATTTATGTTTTAAAACTTAATTAAATTTAACAATTTAAATTTCTCAGTTTTTGGTCTCTAGAAACTAAAATATTCGTTTTATAAAAAAATTTCAAAGGAAAAAAAGATGCGCCTTTTAATTTCCTATAATGTAGTACTTTTCAAAATTCAAAATTTTGAATTTCAATTTTCATCACTTTTTCGAATGTTTGACCGACTCTACGGAGTCCATCCAAGCGGAGAGCGAGTTCTACTTTCCAGCTCCTCATATAGTCTGACAAAAATTGGACTCTACTACTGATAACAATGTTACAAGAATTTGCAGCGTTCTGTCTGACTATAATAAATTTTTACTACTGATCTAGTAGTACCCTACCAAAAATTACCAGAGTTCACTACTGGCGCGGTACTGGTACCAATATCGCGCCACTACTGATAGTACTGGCGCTGTACTGCCCAAGTAGTTAATTTTTAGTGGGTATAATAATAACAACTATATGTGACGCTCCACGAGAAAAGGAACGAACCTATCTCGACAAAATAGAATTATACAGGAAAGGCGTTCAAAGTTGAACCTTCTGATTGGCTGAGACGCACCAGCGAAAATCAGCCCCACTACCTTACTACTACATCGTTCCTACGTCTCACGGATACACCAAGTATACTAGTAGCAGTGGTGGTGGGAATGGTTTCCGTAGTCCGTACTGGAACGCGATTGACATGGTCATGTTTAAAGCTTTATTACAAAAAAAGTAATTAGAAAAATATTATTTTTGACATTTCTATATGAAAAAGCAACTCAAATACTATCGATTTGCATATAAAACTGGAAATTAATTTTTTGTCGCGATAGGTCCCTTTTTTCGTGGAGCGTCACATATTATAACTATATTATATATATAATAACTACATTTTTTTGAAAAATTGTTTGCATTTTTGATACGTGTTAACAATAATAAGATAACAGTGTAAAATTTTAGAAAATTTATGTAAAATTATTTTTTCTATTTTGGAAGAGAGCTCAGTGCTAAAATGTATACATTGATATATTAAGAAAAGATGTCTCATTGAAGTAAATTTAATCATATAATGTACAGGAGAATCTACATGACACAATGACATTAATGTTTGTAACCTACTCTCTAAATCTGAATTAGTAAAAATGCTTACTAATTTAAATTAGTGACTCACTTTTTGCTTTAGAATTAGTTAAATTTTACTAATTAAGAAGCAAAAAGTGAGTCACTAATTCAAATTAGTAAACTTTTTTACTAATTCAGATTTAGAGAGTAAACAACAATCAAATTTGCATCAAAGTGACAGTTTATATAATAAATATACTTTGAAAATAAATCTGAAATCAGTGTATTTATTTTTAGTTATCAGTATATATATATATTTACCTAATCTGTTGATATAAAAAATCTGTAAATTTTTTTCGGGATTTTTTTTATTTTTCTTTTTTTTTAAATTTTGAAATACCTATAATTCTGTAAAGTTTAAGCATCGCAAAATTATAAATGTATAGTATGAGAACTTTCGACTTGATCATCGACATCAACACGACCACAGCTGTGCAAGAGTCTGTGGTCGCATCCATGCGGCAAACGTAAGTGACACTTGACTCTTTTTATGGCACTCAAACTATCCCGTGCCACCTCATCGTATATCTAAATAATCAATTTACTTCTGCCCATAATCGTAACCACGAGTTAGCGAGTTTATGTGGGGCGTGCTCTACACGGTAACTACGTGGCTCCGTAAAGCATAAATATTATGGGACGTTTGGTACACGGCTTACAGCCTCTTTTCCGCAAGCCTCTATCTATATACATATACGAACCGCCTCCCCCTCCCTCCCTCTCAACATCATCCACCTTTATCCTAATTCTCTTGAGTCTCGATGCGCACTCCCAAGGCCTCGTTTTATAAAGCTCAAAACTTTTCCCATAACTAATTCCTGATTAAGAGATTACCTATTTTTTACGACGTAAAAAAACTTTTTCAAAAAAAAAATATATATAGAATAAATATACTCACATTATGCCTTGGTGACCAGGAATTACACATGATGGATGCATCCTCCAATATTCGACTCTAAAAAGACAAATAATAAATTATTTTCAATAATTTCACTTTTATCCAATTATAAATCAATTAATCAAAAAAAAAAATCCCAGGAATAAATCTGGATATGTTTATTATTATTAGTAACAGGAAAAATTAAATATTTATTATAAACTAGAAAATTATTTTTCACATGAATTATTCGTCAAAATATATCATTCAAATTTATATCATCATTCTAACCTCAAAAATTATAATTTTAAATTGTCACGTCACCGTAACGTATTGCTAAACCTTGCAACTGCATTTTCTGTAACAAAGCCTTGTTTCTTGATTTCGTTATGTATAAAATCAATACTGTAGTCGGACTTACTAACTTGTTCGGTATTAACAAAAGTATATTTAATGAAGCAAAAGAACGTTTATGAACTCATAAATTAACCCTTATTTGATTTCACACCATTGTAATAAATAATGCTCTTTCGCTAATCCTAAAATTCTTTTGAATCTAGGTAATAAATACCCTTTCTGTAATAGGATTGTATTGCTCTATTTATATCTTACATTGGGTTTTCCCCGAATTTCGGAAAAATAAAAATTGAAAGATCGCTTTTTCGTAGATTGTTTTATTGAGAGAGTATGTCTATGATTCTTTTTATTATCACAATTTATTGGGAATCTAAAGGGGAAATCGCCCTAATCCGCAACGATTAGATGGTCAACTCTTTAATTAAAAAGTTAAAAAATGCAACCCACTTCCGAGAATTCGTCAACCCTCTTTTTGAAAATCCTGTATAAAATCGTCCACATTTGCCATGGCAAACTGGCCTCTGCTGCAGGAGAGGCCAGTTCAGATTTTGGTACCAGCACGTCATCTTCATATACGAAATCTTGTACAAGTACACTGTTACTCTGCTCGATTTCATACTCAAGTTCGACTTAGAAGAATTTCCAAGTCAAGTGTTAGAAGTTTCTACTCTCTAAATTTGAATCAGCGATAAGTATACCACTGGTACCAATCAGCGGATATACGCTGAAAAATCAGTTAAATTCCACTAATTCATCAATGCATATAAGCTGATTGGAATCAGTGGTATACTTATAGCTGAGAATCAGCGAGATTCCGCTGATTCAAATTTAGAGAGTACTCTCTAAATCTGAATTAGTAAAAAAGTTTACTAATTTGAATTAGGGACTCACTTTTTGCTTCTCAATTAGTAAAATTTAACTAATTCTAAAGCAAAAAGTGAGTCACTAATTTAAATTAGTAAACATTTTTACTAATTCAGATTTAGAGAGTACATCTACAAGAACTCTTCCAAGTTTTCAACGAATATTCTGTCACAATATTTGGAAAATAATTTTTTCTTTCCTTTTACGGAAGAATCTCATTGTTTGGTCTTTCATTACGGTTTATTGAACTTTGGACCTGTAGTAATTACCTGGGTCAAAATCAAATTCATTTTAACGTCAATGTCAAATTTAATTCAACAAATTCATTGTTTTATTTAACTTAGACGTTAAATTAAAATTTAATTTTTTATTTCAATTTAACGTCGCATTTAAATTTATTTTTTGATAGCAATTTGACGTATTGCAATCAAAAAATAAATTTGACTTTGACGTCAAAGTCAAATCAAATTACATAATCGACTCTCTGGTACCAGCCGTTCATGGCCATATTTAAGAACACAGCAGTGGTCTTTTCTTTCATTTTACTTCTTAATTTTTAAAGTTAAGGCTTTATTTCCTACATCCTTTATAACCTCTTGTAAAGTCGGTAGTAACCTTTTGCATTCTTTGTTACAGTGGAGTGTGGACTTTGCTTTATTTCCAAGACTGACTGGTTGCTTCAAGATTCTCTCTCTTAAAAAGAACAACTTTTATAACTTAAAAATATTTGTATCTAAATGAACTTGTAACCTTGTTATTTTGTTACATTTTTCTTTTTTACCTGTACCCACTTGTACCCTTAGCTCAGAGCCATCTGCTCTGTAAATGAAACAGAAATAATCACTAAAGCGGAGATAAACAAAATAAAATATTATTTTCTTATTGTTAGTTATTTTTTCAATTTGGGACGTAACAAAATCACCTATTTTATCTTATGGCAAACTTACATTCTTCTATTTAAGGGGTAATTTTCAAAAATTTTATACCCGGACAGCACCGAAACTTCCCTGTAGCTTGACTGAACCTCGCTTGACGAGGTTCGGGAACTTGAATCGCGAGGTCCAAACGAGGTTGAGTTGATGTTTAAATGTCTGCGCATAATGTCAGTCACAGAGGTTGGCTGAATATTGGATTTGAATTTCTGTTAAATATTAAAATTAAAGATTCTTGGCATATTGTGAGGGGATATTTAAGGAGATTAAAAATTCAAGATTTGATAAATGTAATCGTTAAATATTCTGGAAATTTAGAAGGAGCATAAATACGGAAAATAAAAAGAAAGCAAATGAATTTAAAACCAAATGGGAAAAATTAATAATTAAATTAAAATAAAAAAATGGTCATTAAAGTATTAGTGAAACCATTTCGTCCAAAAAAGAATTTGTCTCAAATCCAATAAATAGGAGAGACATCATAACTGTTTCTCGCAGTTGAGGTGCCATTAGATTAGTATATAAGCAGTGATCGAAAATTTTTTTCTTGTCGAAATTTTTTTTTCTGCCCGATGTCTCTCCTATTTATTAGATTTGAGACAAATTCTTTTTTGGAAGAAATGGTTTCACTAATACTTTGATGACAATTGTTTTATTTTAATTTAATTATTAATTATTAATTTTTCCCATTGGGTTTTTAAATTCATTTGCTTTCTTTTTATTTTTCCGTATTTATGCTCCTTCTAAATTTCCAGAATATTTAACGATTACATTTAACAAATCTTGAATTTTTAATCTCCTTAAATATCCCCTCATAATATGCCAAGAATCTTTAATTTTTATATTTAACAGAAATTCAAATCCAATATTCAGCCAACCTCTGTGACTGACCTTTATTATGCGCAGACATTTAAACATCAACTCAACCTCGTTTGGACCTCGCGACTAAAGTTCCCGAACCTCGTCAAGCAAGGTTCAGGGAAGTTTCGGTGCTGTCTGCTAAAAATTCGTTTTCTAATATGAACCTATTTTCTACTTTATCCTTTTTTGTTATCAACATATCCAGATTTATTCATGTGATCTTTTTTATTCATACATTATTATTATTATATAATTTTCTCATCTATAATTAATAATATAATAAAAGCAAAAGAATAGAATCTTCTTTAAAAATTTCTAATTAAAAATTCTTCTATAGAGTGAGACAAAGTCTATCTTTTTAAAGTTGCTTAAAACAAACCAAAAAAAAAAAAATGCTTCATATATCGATTTCAGTTTCTGGTTATTAATTCGTGGAGAGAGAGTGGCAATATTTAAAATTAAACGTTGCAGACTTTCATTATACATCGTGGTTGAATATTTTATTCCAATAACTGGATAATACGTATATTTAAACCCGACCGTCTAGAATTGACGGAATCAGGGCATAGCGGCGTCGCGACGCCGTCATAAATTAAATGAGTTACTTCAGGAATGGTGCAGAACTAGGTAATTCAATATCGAGAGAGTAATATTAAAGCGTCGGACATATTTTTATATATAATCTCAAAAGCGTATCATCTCTTAAAAATATGTCTGGAATAGAGATAAAAAAAAATAGAATAATACATCTAATTACCTAAAAAGAAAAAACATACAATTTTACTTTAAGTTATATCTTACAATAATTTTCACATCTCATTATATAGTGATTATATAAATATATATTTCTATTTTCACTATACATTATAATTTAGAAAATTATTTGAAAAACAAACTTTTATTATTATGTGTTGAGACATATTTATATCTCGTTAATATATAAAACAAACAAAAAAAATTCTTCCTATATTTATATAAAATTGCACGATAAGTTGAATGAATATACATATATAAAAATTAACTCTTTATATATATATATATATATGTGTGTGTAAGATAACAATTGTGACCCAATGTGTTGTGTATACATAAGTATATGGTTTTCCATATATATACTGAATGAATAATTTCGAATGAATGGATGCGTGTAGAACACGATATCATGTCATTAGTTCATAACTCTGCATGCAAACGTACATAGTACTACAATCTACAGTGATAAGCAAATGTTTGGTTAGTTCTCGATTCCAGTACTATTATATTGCGAATAATAATGCTATAACAACACTGATGAAGTGACATTCATCGGAATATATAGTCACTAAACTCTCTTTAAACCAAGAATGTATTTCAGTATTCGCTTTGGATCGTGAAGATTTAAGGGAATGTAGTCATGAGTGGACCACGTTTTGTTTTTCATGTATAACTTTTTTTTGGAGTAAATAATTAGCTAACCTCTATATACACCATTGAATAAGTAGTGCGAGATGTTACATGTATTTAGAATTTTTTTTACTGTCATAGAAATATTTTCTGGACGTTTTTTAAAAAGTTGTTTTTTCTAACTATTTCTTTTTGTAGTCATAAGTGGACCACCCTAGGAAAATCATCTTAAAACTGCTCAAAATTTATTCTTTAAATATCATACAATTTAAATATGTATTGAATAATTATTTCTTTTAAATACTTTTTAATGAAAATAATAAAAATAAAACATTTTAATGATTAAATTCCGTTTTATTGCACTGTCTCGTGATTTTTTATAACATTTTCCTGTTTTACTTACGGTTTCAGGGTCGCTGATTACGAATCTGGCATCAGTTTATCAAAATTCAAAATGGCGGATTCAATATGACGAATCAAATTTAAAAATTGATCGGATTCGCTTGAATCTTGTTACTTGAGGGTTTTTGGGGTCATTTTCAATTTTGAAAAACAAATGTCAGCGACCCTGAAAACCCCCGAGTAATATGTTTCATGCCATTCCAATTAATTTTTAATTTTGTCGTCTGACATATTGGATCCGACATTTTGAATTTTAAAAACAAAATTCAAATTCGTAAT